GGTTGTTGGTTTGAGATCTTTAATGTAAGTATAAGTTTCTTTCTTAGCACTGCTGTCTGTTGCCTTTCACAGGGTGGGGCAGTAGTCTGGTTTTTTCCCACACGTCTCAAGATACTTTCTAACCCCTCTTGTGACTTCCTTTCCGACTCCCAGGGTGTTGCAGAGGGTGCCGCCAGGCAGGGAAGCAGCCCAGCGGCGGAGCAGTGCTTGCGGAGTCTGCGTACTGCCCTCCATTTGGCCTCTGGTGCCGCAGGTATGATCATTTCTACCTAGTCTTCAATTTTCCAGTTTTTCGTTTGCTATTGATTTCTAGTTTAAGCCCACGGTGATTGATTGCAAAATACACAGCACATGACTTGAATGTTAACTTAGACTGTCTTGTGGGCTAGCGCACAGCCTATGCTTGAGCACACTTCCTTCTGAGCACACTGTCACTGGGCCACCATCATCCACTCCAGACACCAGCAGTGCAGCTGCTGGGCTCAGGGGTAGTGTTGCTCAGCATGCACACGGCCCTGGGCCAATTCCTGGCATTAAAAGTTAAGCAGTGACCTGGCAGGAAGGCTGCCAGAGTTGAAGAACTCGCCTTATAGGTGAGAAAATGGAGCCCAATGATTTTATCCAAGGCTGCACAGGGGCCAGTGGGCCTGCGGGCCATGGATACTGAACTGAGCCAGTTCTCAGCCGAGCGCCTACTCTGTGACCTCAGCCACACTCATGTAAAACCTTAGCCCCAGTTTCATTCAACAGATGTGTTTTCCTTGTCTTAAGTTTTTGAGACAGGGTCTCACTAGGCAAGCCTCATGCCTCAGCCTCTTGAGTGCTAGGATGATAGGCCTGTGCCTCCACGCCTGGCGCCACCGAGTCCTTCTGTGCGTCACAGACGCAAGGCCAATCCAGGAAAGATGTCTGTGCAAGGCCTCCTCCTCTGAGATGAGCCCCATTGTTTCCAGAGGTGTGGATGGTCAGCCTCATGTGTTACTCATGAATGCACTAATGTGTTGTTAGAACCCCTGTTTGTGGCTGATTACATGCTTCTTCTAGAAATGAGAGGCACAAAGATTTTGGGTCCAGAAAAGCCAGAACCCCCTCCCCCCACCAAAAAAAAAAAATCCTCACCACATCTATAGGGCTGTCTTCTATGAAAGACTGAGGTACCAAGGGCACCGCTGCGCCTGTAGTTTGGGGAGGCTAAGGAGGGCAGCAGTTTCAGTCAGGCAACTCAGTCGGACTACCCCCCCAAGTCTGTCCAGCCCTGGCATGGTCTTGCTCATGCAAGGCAGCTCCTGGGCCAGGGAAGGCATGAAGCTGCGTTCTCTGGCCAGGAGCAGGGAGGGTGGAACTGTGGGACACCGCTCCTTCCCCCTGGGGTCAGCCGCAGCTCGAGGCTCAGCAGCCTGGGTTCTCAGCCCACGGCTGCTATAAGGCACAGAGCCCACGCAGGCACTGTGCTGAGGACGGCCAGGCAGCTCCCAGCGCACCCCATCTGTCTCTTGTTCCACTCTGTGACGTAGAGCAGGGCAGACACACGGGCTGCTTTCACAAATGTGCTCTCCGAGGTGTAGAGAGGCGACACCTGATGTGTAAGTGGAGGACCAACTACAGGAGCAGAACCGCCGGGGATGGGTAGAAATAAAAGATATTGAGATTTCATGCAGGAACGGCTTCACATGATGTTGGGGGCTGGTTCAGCAAGTCTGAGGCCCCCAGGGCAGGCCATCAGGAAGGGCAGGAGGAAACCCTTGGACACTGGCTGGTGGCCTACGCTACATATAAATTTCCTTGGCTGTGTCATGCCACGGACTACCTCCTTTCCATTCAAACTATAGTCACTAGCGCTTTAAATTCAACTAAAAGAGAATTCCAGAAAACCCAGAACCAACAGGGAAAAGTCATCCTTAGAATTTCCTAGCTGGGCATGGTGGCACACACCTGTAATTCCAGTACTGGGGGAGGCTGAGGCAGGACAATTGCTCTTAGTCTGTGGCCAGCCTGGGCTACACAGTGATCTCAAGGCCAGCCTGGATGACACAGTGAGATTGTCTAAAAAAAAATAATAATTCCCCCCCTCCTCTGGAACCAAAATTCTGCATTAGTCAGACTCAATGAGAAAGACAGCACCAGTGGGACAGATTTGAAGAGATTTGTTGCAAGAACTGAAGCCATTGACTGTGGGGGCTGGTTTTACAGAGCAGGCTATGGGGGAAGCAGGCCAGAACTCTCCTCAGGGGCGAATACTGCCGTCTGCTCCTATGGAATCCAGTCTATGTTTTAGATTGAGTCAGGCCCACCCAGGTTATATGAGATAATGTCATTTAGTCAGCTAGTTATGGACTTTAATTCTACCTATAAAATACCGTCACACAAGCTAGGTGTGGTGGTAAACACTTGTAAGGCCAGCTACACAGGAGGCTGAGGCAGGAAGATTAGAAACTGGAGGCTAGGTTGGGCAACTCAAAATTTTAAAAGGCCTAGGGTATAGCTTAGTGGAGGTATACTTGCCCAGCATGCATGAGACCAGGTGTTCAATTCCAGTACCCCCCAAACAAAACAAAACTTCAAGGGCTGGGGAGATAGCTCTGTAGTCTAAGCACCTGCCTGGCAGGCACAAGGACCCAGGTTTGATCCCCAGTCCCTCATGCTGTGCCACCTTAGAATCCCGAGTGCATGCCTATAATCCCAGCACTGGGGGCACTAGGAGTCCGAGCTACATAGTGAGTCCCTGTACCAAATACACAAATAAAAGATTAAAAACAACAACTTCACAACAAGCTGGGCACGTTTTGTTAGGCAGAGCAGGCTGGCCTTGAACTCACTATGTAGCCCAGCCTGGCCTCCAACTCAGCAATTCTCTTGCCTCAGCCTCCTGAGATGACAGACGTGTGCATTACACCCAGCCCATCTGTCTAGCTTCAAACTCACCAGCAGGCAGCACCTGGTTTTTTTTTTTGTTTTTTAAGGCAAGGCAGTAGTCACACAACATGAAATGAACCACATAAAGCATACGGCCCAGTGCTACTTTATTACACATTTGCAACATTGTGCAACCCTCCTCACCTCTATCTAACTCCCAAACGTTACCATTACTCCCCATCCCAGTCCCCCTTCCCTGGGCAGCATCCTCATCAGGGAGATCTGGAACACAGGAAGCCTGCCCCATGTGCTCCTCCACTGGGGAGGCGTCACCTGCCCCTACCCCAGGGCAGGAAGGGGTGCAGCCAGCTACTCTCTCACAATGTGGGGGTTGTAGTCGGGTTTGACAGCTTCAGCAAGCTCCTCTGCATACATCTTGTATCTCCCGGTCATCTGAAAACAAAACACGGGTGTACTTTGGAGGTTCCTGTTTTCTAATCACTTGCCACTTTTTCACCACCACCACCACCTCTTGCCACTAGGGGGCAGCCGTGGGAAAGGAATGCCGGAAGGCTATGGTCCGTTTCAGACTAGGACAAGCAACCTGGGTGTGACCCCTGGGCACTGATTTCAACGTCCATAGACAGCTCCCACAACCCAGCCAACTTTCTGTGACCTCTGACACATGTCCATCCCAGAGATGTGGTCTTCCCTGAAGCAGGAGGGATGTCCTATGGTCCTGCAGAACACTAGAAGAACAGCCTGAGGCCAGGGAGGGTAGTGACCCACTGCAGGTCACCAGTCTGGAGAGGCGGCGGCTAGGAATTTGAACTTGGGTTTCCTGAGTCTGAGGTCTTCCTGTTCCACATGGAATGTTGTGGATCTAGACAGAAACTGCAGACTGGGGCTGGAAAGGCCTTCCCTTCTTCCAAAAGCCTCAGCATGAGCTCATCCCATCACCGCAGCTGGGAAGGCTTCGGCTCTAGACACTGTCACTCCACTTATTGTTCCTGGCGATACTTGTTAAAAGTGCCGGCCAGTGTTCTTGGCTACAACGGATTCAGGTAGAATCAATCTTGCATTAGCAGGAGCTGCTCAAGAGGAATGACATGTCAGAAGACTTTCTCGCGGGCAACGCCTTGCCTCACTGACAGGATCTGAGACTGGAAGGTGTGTTCCAGGATCTATGCTCTTGCAAGTGGGGAAGCAAAGCCAAGACCTCCTCTCTGGCTCTTCATACTAGGTAAAATCATTTGATTATAACAATGTGACATTCATTTGCTGTGGGGTTTGTTTACAAGTGGGGCTCAGTTGAAGGAAATACATAAACATGAAAATAATAAATCCCATAGACAGGAGCCCTTCCAGGTGGCACTGGCGTTGGCTACCATTGTCCCATCCCAGGAAGGATGGTACCTTATACAGCCCTGACTCCTGATGGCACAGGGCAGTGGTCTCAAAGGAAACATGGAGCCTTCAAATTAAGCCTCTTATTTTACAACTGGGAGCCCAAAGGCCTGGGAGCAGAGGCACTTGCTTGGGGTGGTCACCAAAGGCAATGCCAGAGCCAGCCCAGACCCCATTTCTCCGAGTGACCCATTTCCCTCCACTGTCAAGGCCTAGACGGTGGGGCCCGGCCACAGGCAGAACCAGACATGCACGTCTATTTTGTGATAAGTACAAATGCCTGGAAAGGAAAAAGGATTAGAGAAGCCAATGCACTCTATTCTCTGGACAAATGAAATTGAGATTAATTTGCTTGAAGGCGCCTAGAATCTAAATCAGATGAGAGGGGAATTTATTGAAGCTGGCTCCTTGTACACTGTCCAGCCTAACGGTTCCTCCCTGCAGTCACAGGGAGGCAGGGAATGGCTGCTCACCGTACAACCTGTGGGTGGGGAGCGGACACCCCCTCTAAGGGGTCTCCGAAGGCAAACCCCACAGCGTTGGTTATGAGTCCTACAAGAAGGACTGGGGACTCCAAGTGGAGAAGCAGCGTTATAGAAGGGGTCTCGGGCTTTACCTTGAAGCTCCAGAGATCATTCATCTGCCGACAGAGATTAAGGTCGAGTTCAGCGACCAGCAGCCCATCCCGGTTACGGGAGAGCCCAGGGGTGCGGCTGCCATCGGGGGCTGCCACATAGCTGGAGCCATAGAAGTAGCCAAAGTCCTTATGAGCTGTGAGAAGCAAAGGGAAACAGTTGGGAGCTGTGACAGATGCCACATAGGCTCTGCAGAAGAGCAGCACCTAGAGACACACTCAGGACAAGGCAGCCACAGCAGTTCCCTCCCCAGCGCCCGCAAATGCCCAGGCGGCAAGGGCTTGCCTTCTTCCTTAGGCCCGAAGGCCCAGCAGCTAGTCGCAAAGGTCACCCCTCCCTGCTGCTGAGAACATTTCTAAATGTCATGCACCAGAGGTGTTGGCCCTTCACTCTCCATATCAAGCACCGGTACCCCAAGGGAATCACATGGCCCTGGGGACTTCCGGTGTGACTTACTTCCTGTGGTGGCCCTACTGAGTAAACTGAAACTACTTATCTTCCACCTCCACACCTCAGTTCCCTCAGCACTCACGGGCGCTAAGAATCACGCTGGAAGCTCATGAGGAACAGGCGGGGGCAGGGCTGGGCCTGACTGGCACAGGCCCAGATACAGACTTTGCTGCCAGGCCTGTATCTCTACGGCAATGAAGTTAATTGGGGTTGGAGAATTTGTACATCTGGATTGCAATCTGTGGCCTCATGGTGGGGACCTGGGGCCCCTGTAGGAACTGTTTCTTTGGGAAATAGATCCGCTCAGTACCCTCCATATTCCTGGGAAGTGAAGCCCAGGCCAATTCAAACACCTCCTTGGTGAGGGGGCACCCTTCCTTCTCACATCGCAGCCAGAGGGGCGGGCCTGGGAGGGCAGGATTCCCAGAAGAGGGGTGGTGTGGTGATACCTGTCCTCAGATCAAAATAAGCCATGGACACCAGAAACCCAAGACAATCCAAGCCAACTCAAGGGCATCTGTATGCCTGGGTTGGGGAGGGGAACAAGGACTAAGAGCACTTCCCCTTCTGGGGAGCTCACAAAGGGCTCCTCTAAGTCCTCTCTGGGGGTCTTTCTCTCTTCTTACCAGCCCTGGGTGAGGGAGTGATTCCAATCCTATCCCCATCATATTCCCATTTGGGAAATGAAGTGATTCCAACCCCAGGACTTTGCTCCCAGCCAGATTCCAACATTGCAAATAATAAAGCAGTTAGTGCCTCCTCTTAGGGCCCAGACCCTGCCCAGAGGAAGCAGGTGGAGAAGGGGAAGATGAGGCCCACCACCACCAGCACTCATGCAGCGTACCTTTCTCTCCATCTCCGGAGGTAAACTCATTGGGGAAACATTCCTGTGAAATAACAAGGTAAGAGGGACCTATAGGTGGCACCACTGTGACAGTCATCGCAGCTGTCTTACCAGAGCAAGAACAGGCAGCGGTCCGCTGTGAGAATGAATGGACATATCTGTACTCCTCGGGCAATCACTTGTCAAATGTCCCACTGAGCACCCAGCATTGGGCAGGCAGCGGGGAATTTGGCAAGCAAGGTAGGACCTGGATTCTGCCTCTGAGTTTAACAGTCTGGGAAGGGAAGACACAGGTATCGTGGCTTCTCAAGGCTGTGGGAAGCATGTGAATCCCACCTGCCGGAAGTAGGAAAACCCCAGTCTGGGCTCTGTGAAAGCAAGAAGTGGAGAGGGAAGCCCCCAGATTGTTGAATATTTTTTCCCAAGCTTGATGGGAAATACACATGGAGCTGTGATGTGGGTCACTAGGCTTTGCCTGGACAGAGGGATGCACATCTGTGACCCTAGCACCGAGGGAGACTGAAGCAGGAGGATCACAAATTCAAGACCCACTTGGGCAGCCCAGGGCTGGGGATGTAGCTCAGTGGTAGAGTGCCCCTGGGTTCAAGCCTTAGTACACAGAAATAAAATAATCACTCCATTTCTCTAGGGTGGGAGAAATCAGGATTAGTGTGAAAACCTTGGTTCTTTCACTCTGGTTAGATGCTCTGATCAGAGTCTGACATCTGATGAAAAAGATAAGGAAGAGGGTTATGCAAATGAATGCATCGCATTTGGTAGTGAAAGCTCTTTAGTGAAGGGGCTCCAGCAACGGGGGAGATTAACAAACTGGAGAGCAGGACACCTGTAATCCCAGCTCGAAGGGAGGCTGAGGCAGAAGCATTGTGAGTTTAAGGCAGTCTGGGCACCTAGGAAAGACCCTGTCTCATAAGCAAATTAAAAAGAGTTTAGGATGAAGCCCAGTGGCAGAGCGCTTGCCCAGCCTACACAAGGCTCTAAGTATGGTCCCCAGTACCACGATGGATGGATGGATGGATGGATGGATGGATGGATGGATGGATGGATGGATGGATGGATGGATGGATGGATGGATGGATGGGTGG